CGGACAAACACCAGAGGGGGGTACAAGGCGCGAAGGCCTACCTTCTGTCCCTCCTATGGCAAACCTGGAGCCACAACGACAGAATCCCAGGAGGGATGCAAGAGGGAGGAGGCGGACTAACAGCCCCCGTCACTCTTGTTCACAAAGTCTTGACAGGCGAAGGCAGAGGATTGACCCTCAAGATCTGGAGGACCGCGTGAAGGAGCAAGACGAGTTGATACGACGGATAGCGGCGAACATGGAGATTATGAAACGCCAAATGAAGGGAAAAGAAGTGGCGACAGGAGAGGGGCGCAAAAGCAAGACGCCCCCTCGCCACTCAAAAGACCATGGTAGGCATACCACACCATTACAAGCAGAAAGTAGAAGCCTCAAGACAGGCGATAGTCAATCCAGAACCTCCAGGACTCGTTGCTCCAGGTCTGCGAGAACGAGGACGGAGAGGTCGTATACTGAGGGAAGCACCTATCGGCCCTCCCGCACGCACCAGACATCATCCAGGAAGTCGGAGATGCCTAGATCGTCCAACTTGCGAACTATGCTAGAAGAGAGGGCACGATGGAAGGAGGATACCAGGGTGCGCGACCCTCGCAGAGTTTCTGCCCTTCAACGGTTGGCTCCTCGGACTCATGGAAGCATCGAAGTCAGAATGCCATTACCACACCCTGTTTACGAACCAACGGACAAAGCATTAGCGAGGCTATAGACCTCACCGTTCGTCCCGGCAATTGAAAACGCGCCCCTACCTTCAGGCTTCCTTCAGCCCAAATTCACCACGTACGAGGGAAAAACGGACCCCTACATACACCTAAGCCACTTCCGCCAGGTTATGGCGATATATCGGCGAAACGAGGCTCTGATGTGTATCCTCTTCCCATCAAGCCTTGGTGATCTAGGCTTGACTTGGTTTGAAAAGCTTCCAGAAGGCAGCATAGCCTCCTGGGCGCAATTGGCGAAGGCGTTCGTCACAAGGTTCAGAACAAACACCAAAACCCCAGTGGAGATTGACCAGCTACTCTCTATCGACATGGGCGAAAAGAAGACATTAAGATCCTACAATAGTCGCTACTGGGAGACATTCTACCAGATTGGAGACTGCCCCACCAATCTCGCCATTGCCCAATACAAAAGAGGCCTTCCAGTCAGGAACAGACTAAGGGACTCAATCACCACAACATCGCCTCACCATGGAGGCCTTGATAGAAAGAGTGCATCAGCACATCAGGGTGGAAGAGGATGGCGCCCGTGCCAAAACAAAATCTGGCACGACCGCAATACCAGAGAAAAAGGCCTCAGCAAAGGTCAACGCCGTAGACCGTCCGAGTAGAAACGGACGCGGCAAGCGAGACAACGGAGAGGACCAGGATAAAAGATGGTTGAGAGTCCGCACTGCCATAACCACAGTATTCAAGAAACCAATCTATCGGATTCTGAGCGAAATACGTGATGAGCCTTTCGTCAGATGGCCAGCTAAGCTAGGAGAAGCACAGAAAGACTACGACGAAAGATCGCAATGCAGCTTCCACAAAGAAAATGGGCACCGCACTGAAAATTGCATGCCGTTGAGACAGCATTTGGAGGAGTTGGTGGCAGCCGGTCACCTGGATAAATACATTGAATGAGGGACGCAGCCAACCCCCCAGAACGACAACCACCCAAACGGAATGCCAATCGACGCCCCACCTCAAGGCGTGATAAATGTAATTCATGGAATATGCGAACCTGAGCGCGTATGCGAGCTCAGGGGCATGATTAAAAAGGCTGAGCACTTAAGGGAGGTTCTAAGTGCACAACCCACAATCAAGAAAGGAAGAACGGAGGCCACCAATGTCATCTCTTTTTCAGATAGAGACTTGGAAAGGATATATTGTCCTCACAACAATGCGTTGGTCGTGACTCTCCGCATCAAGGATTACGACGTCAAGCGGATTTTGATAGACCAAGATAGCTCATGTGAAATAATGTACTACGACACCTTCAAACAACTGAAATTGGAGGACAAAGACCTGGCACCAGCTGTATCCCCCCTGATCGGATTCAACTCAATGCCAGAATGGCCAGTCGGCAAGATTATCCTGCTAGTCAGGGCAAGAATCGTGACAAAACAAGTGAAATTTTGGGTGTTGAAGGTCCCTTCCACTTACAATATAATCTTGGGAAGAACATGGCTGCATGCCATGCGAGCAGCAGCTTCATCCTACTATCAAGTAATGCGATTCCCCAACGAAGCCAGAGTAATTGAAGAGGTCTTTGGAGATCAAATTATGTCCAAACAATGCTTCGTCATAGTTAATGACAGCCGCGCAGCCAAGGGATATGTTCATTCGGTGGAAGAACCTGAGAGCAATGAACTATTCACAGATGTCGGCAAAGCAGCTGACCAAAAAGCTGTAGAAGACTTGGTAGAGGTAAGAATAGATGAAAAGAACCTGGATAAGTTCTTTTTGCTCGGTTCGTCGTTGTCCAGCACTGAGAGATTAGAGATCTTGGAATTCTTGATCTCTAACATCGAAGTGTTCGCCTGGACACCCTACGACATGCCAGGCATTGATCCAAACTTCATCTGTCACCAACTCAATGTCCACCCATCTGCCAGACCAATCATTCAGTGCACTCGTAGATCGGCACTCCACCACGTCGAAATAGTGCGCGGAAGAAGTGGGAAATCTGCTAGAGGCAGGAGCTATCTGAGAGGTGCACTACCCCAGATGGATTTTCAATACAATCGTGGTGCCAAAAAAGAATGGCAAATGGCGTGTCTGCGTCGACTATAAAACAGTCAACAAAGCCTGCCCAAAGGACAGCTTTCTCCTACCACGAATAGATCAACTGGTAGACCTAACGGCGAGGCACAACCGACTTAGCTTTCTTGATGCGTACAGAGGCTACCATCAGATCGCCATGTACGAATCAGACCAGGAGGCCACGTCCTTTACAACTCCAAGAGGACTGTATTACTACAAGGTCATGCCCTTTGGCCTAAAGAATGCAGGGGCAACATTTCAGAGAATGGTCACCAAGATGTTTGAGCCGTTGTTAGGCATACCAATGGAAGCTTACATCGACGACATGGTGGTCAAGAGCAAGGACGAGAATGACCATCTAAGGGACCTAGGTGAGATGTTCCAGATTCTGAAGAGGCACAAGTTGCGCCTTAATGCATCCAAGTGCGCGTTCGGTGTAGGATTTGGCAAATTCCTGGGCTTCCTAGTGACCAACCGGGGTATTGAGGCAGACCCCTCCCAGATCAAAGCAATTCAGGATATGGAAAGGCCTAACTCAGTAAAAGAAGTGCAGCATCTCACCGGCATGGCAGCTGCAGTCAACCGATTCATTAGCCGTCGTCAGATAGACTACGACCATTTTTTCAAGCATTAAAAGCCAAGTTCAAGTGGGATGAAGAATGCGACCGCGCTCTGGAAAGCTTAAAAGAATATATGTCTTCACCACCACTGCTGGTGACCCCAATACCTGGAGAAGAACTCTTCCTGTACCTGGCAGTCTCTCAGCAGGCAATTAGCGCAGTGTTGGTCCGTGCAGAAGGAATCCAACATCTGCCCATCTATTATGTCAGTAAGACGTTGCTGGGCGCCGAAACAAGGTACTTGCCACTGGAAAAACTAGCCTTAACCTTGATGATGGCTTCAAGGAAGTTGTCGCACTACTTTTACGCCCATACCATAGTCGTCCTCACAGCTTTCCCATTAAAAGCCTTGTTTGAGAGGGCGAACTTTTCTGGGCGAATCTTGAAGTGGGCAGTAGAGTTGGAACAATTCGATATCAAGTTCCAACCCAGAATCGCGATAAAGGCTCAGACAACGGCACTCAGTTTGATGGCAGAATCTTTAGAAGCTTTTGCGAAGAATACAAGATAGAGTTCTACAATTCTACACCGGCATATCCCCAAGCCAACGGTCAGGCGGAAGCATCAAACAAGGTCATCTTGGATGGACTAAAAAAAAGGTTAGAAAAAGCAAAAGGCAAATGGGATGAGGAACTTCCTCATGTTTTATGGGCTTACCGCACCATACCTCGACGATCAACAGGAGAGACACCATTCTCTTTAGCCTATGGCATGGAAGCAGGAATCCCACTGGAAGTTGGCCTCCCCACAATTAGAAGATGAAGACGGCCAAGCAATTCCCAGGCCATAGAATATTGCCAATCTCAAGTTATTTTATTTTTAGCTTTTTCTTTTAAATATGTGTAATTTTTTCCTTTCTCAATAAAATTAGTAGCTTATTTTCAGTATAATTGTTTCCCTCTGTAAGAGATTGTATTAATGAGTTAGTTGGCCGGAATAACCATGTACCCTCCTAAGCCCAGGATAAGGATCCAGGCTGCAGGACGTTTGATCGGAATAACCAAACACTTTACTCTAGGTTGGCTGGAAAAACCAATCTAGAGGTTGGCTGATAAAACCAACACCCCTCATAAGCCCAGGATAAGGATCCAGGCTGCAGGACATTTGGTCGGAATAACCAAACATTTTATTCTAAATTGGCAGGAATAACCAATTTAGAGGTTGGCTGGATTAAACCAACTCTTAGTACTCTTTAGCCGAAGTAAGGATATCGGCAAAAAGAGTGGTTGGCTGGATTAAACCAACTCTTACTACTCTTCAGCCAAAGTAAGGATATCGACTAAAAGAGTGGTCGGCTGGATTAAACCAACTCTTACTACTCTTCAGCCGAAGTAAGGATATCGGCTAAAGAATGGTTGGCTAGATTAAACCAACTCTTAGTACTCTTCAGCCGAAGTAAGGATTTCGGCTAACGAGTAGTTGGCTGGAAAAAACAACTCTTATTGGGCTTCAACTGAGATAAGGATCTAGGCTGAAGCGGTTGGCTGGTATGGCCAGATAGAATACAAAGTTAATACCGGGATAAGTTATCTCGGCAAGAGAATATTAGTCTGAATACAAAATAAACGCAAGCCTGGCAGTAGACCGAACTGAAAGTTGAAAGGTTCTTCATTCAAAATTCAAAAGTACAGAGAAAAGAGTTCATTTAAAGAAAACTAGTTTAGAAGAATATTACTTCAGCCGGGTTACAATTGTCCAAAAGCAGAAAAGAAAAGAAAATACAAAATCAGTTAAACAGATCATCTATTTCGGCGTCAAGATCAGCATCAACATCAACCCGAAGACCAGTTTCAGACGGGAGCTCGGTTTCGGTCGGAAGTATGGTCTCTATTGGAAGCACGGTTTCAGCTGGTTGCTTAATAGTCAGGTCTTCCACCGTGGGTTCCGCCCGAGCTAACTGATCGGCTGGATCAGTAACGACCGGGGTGTCATTAGGCTCGGTGTCATCATCATCTGATTCTTCAAGAAATTGTTGTTGAACGGTCGCAGCATACTCTGCCATTGAGCCCGGTATGAAATATGGTGGAGGATTGTAGACTTCGATCTCTGGTTAATGACCAAGCTGAGTCACGGCCGCCCTCCAACCGCACTTGAAGAAGAGGTCCTTCGCGGCTTCACATTGCTTAATATAAAGGGCTTCACCTTCCTTAAAACCGCGGGTCTCAGCACCCTCCAGCTTCTTCTTCATCTCCTCAATTTCGGCTTTTTTCTTTCCTTCTAGTTTAGCAAGTTCACACAAATATTTGTCTTTGATCACAGCTACAGCTTTTTGTTTTTCTGCTTCAGCCGAGCTAACAAGACCGGCCAGACGACCGTTCTCGGATTTTAGCTCGGCTAGCTGCTTCCTAGCCTCTTCTAGCTCGGCAGTTTTTTCAGTTACTTCGGCCATAGCTTGCCTTGTTGTTTTTCGGAGCTCCAAACACGCTTGTGGGCAATTTGACTCTTTTGCATGGCCTAAAGAAGAATGGAAAGAAACTAATGACAAAATCGAGCAAAAAGTTGGAAAAGTTAGAGAGACCAGAGGGGTTGCTTACCAGGATCATTGATTTCGTTGCAGACCGAATGGCCTTGAGCTCAGTCAAATTGTTGTGATGCTCCATGTCAGGGGGCAGACATACACTCTTAGCCAGATTGAAGGCTAGCATATGGTCTTTGTCAGTCACCACTAAGTCAGCATCACGGATAGCGCGGTTTTGGAAAGACATTTTTGGAGCCCACTTAGAGGAGCTAGCCCGGTCAGAACGCTCCGGCTGAGGTGGAGGGCTCGGTGGAAGAGTGGTTTCATCTTCATCAACAAGGCGTTGCTCGGTTTGGGTAGTCCGGGCACGCTTGCTGGGGCGAGATGAGGAGGGTTGTTGAGATAGAAGGGCCACCACGGTTTCCTGAGCCTGGTTGGGCGGTGGTACCTCGGCTCGGTTGGTTTCAGTTAGAAGGGCCCTTACTATGTTCCTCTTTGCCATCTCTTCTTCGGCAGTAGTTCAGACCAGGTTGATTTGTGGCAAGGTCGGGTCCGGTTCAGGAGAAGCCTCTAGCAAAAAATCTGTTACTCTGGCTTTTCGTCGGCTGCTATATCTGTACGTCGGCTCAAAATTCAGTAGTTTGGCCCAACTTCTTTCAAGGTATCGTAGTGCGGCGCGAAGTGTGTCTAGGTTGGGGTAACGGAATAATGACTTAAGGTGGGCTGAATCTGCATAAAGAAGGCAACTGTTAGTTCGGTTCAGAAATAGGAGACCGAAATAAAGAGAAGCATGCAAAAGAGCCGAGATAATTATACTGGGGGTTCATTTTTTCCAGTTTATTCAGTCACCAAGGATCTGGGCTTGGTGGTCTTCAAAATTGCCAGATACCCAGAAAAAATCGTCCTCGTTTAGGTCTTTGTCCAGTGTGTCCTTTATTATTTTCTCACGCCAGCGTCGTATTCTTAAATAATAAACCCACTCGTCTTCTTTTGAGCCCATAGAATATTGGTGAAAGAGTTCGGCTAAGCCGAGGTTAATACCAGCGCAGCGGTTTAGCTCGGCTATACCATTTATTATGCGGTATGAGTTTGTGGAAAGCTGAGTTGGGCATATCCTAGTTTGCCTAAGGAATTCACAAAGTAAGGGCTGTACAGGGAATCTTAGGCCGGTTTCTACAATGGAAAGGAGGGTGAAGGGAACAAAACCAAGATTACCCCAAGGTATGATATCTTGTTCGGCTAAGGTGAGATGGACGTCGTCAGGAATGTTATACTCCCTTCGGAATTCGGCCAGGCCACCAGGTGTTTTTACTAAAAACCTATATTTACCCATTTTTGTCTTAAGTTATGAATAAATTATACTTGTGATTAGCTCGGTCGCAGAAGTGGGCTGAGTAGCTCGGTTGAGCGCTCAAAGGAGTGCCTGGCCAACCTAAAGTCTGCAAAGTGAAAAAACAAAGGTATTAAGCACAGACCGTTGGACCGTGCTAAAGAGAAATAAAGGCAAGATATATCAAATCTTAACTCGGCTATGTGAAATGCTACGTGTCTTAGCCCGGTTTTGAGCAAGGGTTTGGTTATCTCGGTTTATACAAGGGGCTCGTTATCTCAGTTCGTGCAAGGGTTTTTCTAGCCCGGTTGAACCTCTAGGGGCAGCACTCGTAGTTCGGTTGAACAACGAAGGTTGGTCTAGCCCTAGTCATAGCTCGGTCGTGGTTGAGGCTTTCAAACATAGTATTGCATAGACCTAGTACGGTTCAAAAGATCGGCTAGTCGAATCACAAGGAGGTTTTATTTCTTGAAACTAATGGCATAGCATGGAGTTCTAGTTCGGTTAGTTAGTCAGGCTGGTCTAACGTCAACTATAAACTACTTATTAGTTCGGTTATATTGGGATTTTGGATCAAAAACGGCGTTTTACGGGTTTCGTGAATTCAAATGGTTCTTATAATGTTTTTTCCAGAAAACACAAGGTAAAGCAAAAAAGTGTTTTGCAAAAAACACAAAACAGCATGCTATGGACTAAACAAGGGCAAAAATAAGAAAAGTGGAACAGGTTTGAGTAGCTTACCAGGTCAAGAGGAGGAAATTGAAGATAAGAAAAACGGCAGCAAAACCACGCAACTTCTTCAAGTGCAAATCGAAGAACAATAAGAGCTCAGAAGGGAGAGAGAAAGGAGAAATGAATAGTAAGGTAATGGATTCAAGAGCCTTAGTGTTTGTTTTGGTGAAAAACTCAAACTTTTGGCGGGACTGTTCAAAAAACACGAAGTACGAAAATGGTGTGACAACTGCCTTTAGCCAATCAAAATGAGCCACGTGTCATGGGAATGAGAAGCGATTCAGTTGCTGTGATTGAAGAGACGTTTTGACCAAACAAGCAGAACCCGATGTGGAATTAGCTCGATTGGATAGGCTAAAGAGTTTTAGCTTGGCTGGAAAAGCTAAAAGGTTTTAGCTCGGCTGGAAAGGCTTAAAAACCTTAGCTCGGCTGGTAAAACATGAAATCCCTATCATGCTACGCAGATGGAATTAAGGGACAATTGAGAGGGTAATTTATATGAAAATTGGGCGGAGATGGGAAATGGGCCGTCATGGGCCACAATACGAAGGGCTGAGTAAAAAGGCTTTGAAGTTAGTCCGGTCCCAGAGCCCCGAAGTTAGTTCGGTCCGGAAGAGACTTGGAGTTAGGCCGGTCTAAAGACGCTTTGAAGTTAGTCCGGTCTCAGAGTTAGCCCGGTCATGGCGTATTGTGGTTAGACCGGTTAGAACTTTACTATTCGATAGCTCGGTCTAATCACGCCATTCTTTGTACATGGGAAACCGAGATAAGGAGTAGTGAAAAGAAGAACCGAGCTAAATATAGTTCGGCCTACTCTGCGGCTCAGCATAGCCATGATTACCTCGATCCTATTAGAATCTGACTATGGTAGAACCATCTCACTTGGTTTAAGCAGTGAGGGGGGTGTTGAAGGATAAGTATTATCTTTCAGGAGTATGAATCCTAGGAGGACTCTACATAGAGGAATAAGAGTCCTATTAGGATTGTGCCACGCGGAACTTATAAAAGTTCATAACATCACCTATGGAGAGGTAACACAACTTTGATTCTCGAATATACAGAGCTTTTTGTCTTTGTCTATTTTGCTGACTTAGGCATCGGAGAGTTATCCGGCACACACCCGCCAGGTAGCTCACGTTTGTGTTTTCAGGAAGTAAAGCGACGACGTACGGAGGAGCGCAGACTTGATCAACAGGATTATATGGGAAGAATATTCCTCTGCCCGTACACATAATATAATGAGAATCTCGATTCTTGAGATCTGAGAAATTTTAAGATTTTATTTTGCACCTAAAAACACATTGAAATAAAAAATTTAAGAAAAAATAAAATGGTGCTTAAAGTGGGAAATGTTAGATGACATTGATAGTAAAGTAAGATGAGTGGGCAAAAGAAAAGAAAAGCTATATATAGTAGTGGAAGAAATTACAAAAAAAATCTTTGGTGCAGTTTTTACTTTCTTTATTTCTTGTCATATATAAAAAAAATAATAATAATAAATAAAAAACAAAACAAAACGAAAAAACAATTTGGAGGGGGTTGGCAAGACCCCTTTGGGTTGATTAGTTAGTAATTTCGGAATATGGTCACGTAGTGTCTTTGGTAATAGATTATTATAATTAAAAAAAATAAAAAATTATTAAAAAAGTGAAAAGTTAATAAGTTACTAAAAAAGAGCAATATTCACATGACACTATATAAGTATTGTGTAGAATATTTGATAATTCATTTAGAATTTTTAACATTTTTATTCAAGAAATTTAAAAGTCAAAAAATTATATAAAAAGTTAAAAATCACTTCTCATAATCTTTGTTTTTATTTATATGTTTTTTTCGTAAGAAGGTAAGTCATTCTCAAATGTTTTATTTTTTTATCTCATATTTTAATTAAAAATTTACTAAAAAAAATCATTTTTCCAAACCAATCTTAAAGTCAATCAATATTAATATTGGATAGGAAACTTCCATTCTAATTCTATTTATGAATTTTTATTTTTTTTTTCTATGGGTGAGGTGACATGTTTCAATCCAATTATCAAGTAAAGCATATATTGGAGAAAAATAAATACCATCACAATTTAAAATATATAAATTAAATTTATTTTAAACACAACTTGCACTATTTTAAATTTGGCGTTTTGGCATAAACTAATCTCCAATTGAGTAAGCCAACATAGTTAATATAATTTGAGTAGTACATTTTCTATGTGCAAATTATTCATTAAAAAAATAAATTAATGAGATAATTATAATTAAATAATTTTATCATATTTTTAAAAAAAAATTATAATAAATATAATTTTAAAAATATTATATATATATATATGTTTTTAATTAAATATATTAAAATAATGAGATTAAAACTATCATATTAATCAATTACACAAAATCATTTAATTAGGCATTGTCCTAGTCCATTTAGGCCTATTTTGAAAACTTGGCTAAAAAATATTTTTTTGACTTTTAACTTATTTTGGATGACATCAACTCTCTATTTTTTTACATATTTTCTAAAAAATAATCAAAAAAAAAATTAAAAAATTAACATTTCACTTCCTATCCAAAACAAGCCTTAGATTAGAGTCTAGACCACGTCCACACACAAGACTGGACTGACAGAAACTACACTTTTTATTTATTTATTTATTTTTCATAGTACAAAACATTTTCAATAGAGAAAAGATAAGAATTATAAAAAAAATTTCATGAAACTGATCATAAAAAATTTATGACTCTTAGATTACCTTGATTAATGTGTGGTATTTTATTTTAAGTATAATCTAAGAATTATAAATCTTTCATAATCATTTTTATAAAAAAAATTTCATGGCACTTACCATTGCTCTTTTCAATATTCGACGTCAAACATGGACCCAACCCTATTTTACATCAGACCAATTTCATTGACTTGTTCAACATGAAATCTGGACCATAAGATAGTTGTGGAAAAATTATTTAGTAATTTTAGGATAAATTTATGTAATGTCCTAATTTAATATTTATTAATAAAAATAATAAGATTATTTATTTTGTTAATTTTTTTGGAAGATAACTTGACAAGTGTCTACTTACCCAAAAAAAAAACTTGACTAGTGTCAAGTGATAAGTATGAAACAATAGTCTAAGACTACCAAATAATCTCTCATAATTTTTTAGAAGTCATAATTACTCTCCAAATTTGTGACTAGAATTTGGATGTGTGGTTAATATTTAATAAATATATTATAAAAATTCAAATATAAAATAAATCTAGATCACAAAAAATTTTTAATTTGTAGTATAACTTGTTACCTCATGCTATGAGTTGAAGTCTATGGAAACCACCATCCAATTGAAATTTCCAACTAATTACAAAATATCCCAAACAAAAGAGATATTCATTCATATGTTGCATCACACGACATAACATGTTACTCTACACTAACAAAATTTTATAATTGCATTTGTTTATAGGATAAGAGTAAGATAAGACTAGCATCATAAATTAGCCTGACTTCACAGGTTTGTTCGATAAAATATAGATTACATTTTTTTTTTTTTTTGTATTTTAATCCAAATTTTAGTTTGATCTTTATTATTTTTATTTGAATATTAAGTCAAGTTTTAATTTGATTATTCCATTCAAATTATTGTCCATATATATATATATATATATATTTTTATCTCATGTGATTGATATGTGGTAGAAAATCAAGAGGTCCAATTTCTAAATTGAAATTTAATTTAAAGTTTAAAATTAATATTGTTAAAATTAAAAGGGTAAATCAGGCTCTCTTTTTTTTTTAATATTTGTATATTTTCTCACTTTGACTCTTGAATTTTTTTTTCTCACTTTCATCCTTCATGTTTCAAATTTTTCTTAATTTACTTCAAAAGTTAACTTATATTCAAAATTATATAGAAAATGGCACATTCACGGACATGTATCATAAAACTATTTTATTACACGTCTGAAACAAATATAAATCTCAATATAATAATATATTTTTTAGTCACGTGACAGCTAACATGTTATTTTTTGTTTAACTTTAAATAAAAATTAGTTTTAGGAGTAAATTGAGAAAATTTTAAAATATAAAAGACCCAAATAGGAAAAAAAATAAAAAAAAATTAAGGAGAAAATGAGAAATATAAAAAGGACAAAATATAATTTACTTAAATTAAAATAATAAAAGCCAAAATAAAATTTAAATCGAGTTAGAAACGAGACAAAGAGAAAAGTCACGAAATGTCTTAGGGTTTGTTTAGGAAGTGGGTTTGCTTTTTGGTTTTTTAGTTATTTTAGGCCTCGTTTGGCAAGAGGCTACTTTAGCCAATTAGCCAAAAAGTTACTAAATTAGCCAAAAAGCCAACAACCCATACCAAAAAGTCAAAGATTCTCTTTTCTCTCTACTTTTTGCACATCTTTTCGTAATTAGCCAAAAAGTCATCCCAAACATACAAGTTTTTTTTACCTACATTTTTAGCCAAATAGCCAAAAAGTTACTAAATTAGCTTGTTCCCAAACGAGGCCTTAGTCTAGGGTTAAAAAGCCTCGTTTATGAAGGACTTTTTGGCTTTTTTGATTTTTTGTGAGAGAAAGAATGTAATGATTATGGGTTAAATGTGATATTTTGTTTTATTAGACCACAAAACCTATTTTGTCTTTTTGTAGCTAAAATAATCCCAAATCTAACCCAATCCTTCTTCCCAAACGAACCTTTAAAGATATTTTTTTCATGCCGGACACAGAGTAGCCGCAGGTGGAGTAATTATGACAAATGAATGGATCAACGAAACTTCAGAGCAGAACAAAGTTGGCTACTATGGAAACCAAAGACTGTTATTTGATCTGCCATTTGAATTGTTTTATATTGTGTGAAAGAGAATGTCATCACCTAGGGCTATCTACAGGATACTTCGGGCTATTTTAGGGAGATACTTAAAAGTCATCTTTCAATTTTTAATCTATTTTGGATCACATTATCTCTCATATTTTTTACACATTTTTAAAAAAAAAAAGTCAAAAAAAATTAAAAAATTAACTTTCAATTATCTTTCCAAAATAATCCTTCAACGAGTACTATTTAGACAAGAATTTTATTGGGTTTTGGAACATTATAGAATGAATGAATCTAGGAATACAAAGTGATCATAAAATCTTGTTCAAAATTCAAAAAAAAAAAAAAAAAAAAGTGGTCATAAAATCAAACCTCGTGTATATTAATTAATATATTTTGTTTTTCATTTTGTATTTGTCTTTTCTCATAAGAATTGATTCGATTATTAGAGTTGGCTTTTCTGTATTTGAAATATGACTCAATTTCCAATATTTTCTCCTTCTATAAGCCTTTTCTATTTATTTTTAGTCAATAAGATTCGAGCACTAATGTTTAATTCATAATAGCTTCCATATCATCACTATTTAGATTATTGATTTTTGAGTAGAGATTTAGAAAAATAAATGAAAAAAGTGAATGAAATATAGTTGAATTTCATTCATAATTCACCCACCTTTTCTTTTTTCATTTTTAAATTAGTACCAAAATTTATAACCCAGTCAGCCTAAGAATATGCAAAGTTGGGGAAATAAAAGCAGATGCACACCTGGCTCTGGCACTGGCCTTCGGCACATTTGCGATTGAGGTCCATCGTAGCAAAAGCAAATTGCTTGATTTGTAGTAGTGTCAGTCCCACATTCCCCTCCAGAGTAATTGCACGAGTCGCAGGCCAGGAATTTGTCCATTTCATGATAATCAGCCTCAAATCCCTGCTTCACCAATTGTTCCAGAGTCATATCTTCATCCCCCCAAAATGCATTAAGACGCTCTTGGAAAACTGGAACCTTGATTCTGCTCTTACATCCCCCTTCCGGAATATGCAAGTCATATGGGTCTTCTACGAAGAAACTAATATTACTACTATTCTGGCTCCCCGCTACCTCGGGGCATTGAAAATGACTCCGTTCTTGTATAGGATAATAAGATGGGAAATAAGATGGGAGGTCAGGGAGGCAATCATAGAACAAAGTAAGATTTAGAACATACGGATGAGGACCGTAATCGAAAAGAGTGAAATTCAAAGTGGTATTAATGAATTTCGCAGGGCAAATAGTATCCCACAGATCGGCTCGTGCAATGGTCATGCTATGAGCAGATTGATTGATATGAAGAACACGAAATTCCTGTTTCTCGATGACTATGGTTGTGTTTTCATTGCCTTTGCACGTGAGATTAAAACCTTGAACGCCGCAGAGCTGAGGTCGATCTTTTCCCCAGAAGGGATATCCAATTCCTTTTATTTGCTCTCCGCAGTCGTATTTTTTTTGGTGGCAAGTCGTGTAATTTTCATTGTCGGCGCCATGTGATGTTGGACTACTGACGATGAACAAGAAGATGGCGATGATGAAATTAACACAAAGAGGTGGCATGCTGAGAACAGGCATGTTGTTGTGGGTTGATACAGATGATCAGGTCATTTGCAATTAAATAATGATTATAATTTTGTAAGAAAGCGGAGCAATTGTTTTCAAGAAGAAAAGTATATGACCTTCTGGGAATTTTCCGTAGGAGAGAGATATTCAACAACTATGTGTTTGGTAACGTTTACGTTTTCAGTTTATATTTACAAAAATTTTATAAACTGATTTTTGTTTATTTTTAGAAAAATATAAACTACAAACGCGTTTGGTAATTGACAAGATGTTTAAAAAAATTTAAAAATATAAAAAAGTGTGAAAAATGGCAAGTGGTGGCAAGTGGCGGCGGAAAGTGGTGACGATGGGTGGTGGGTAGCTGGTGGTGGTGGTGGGGGAGTGGGTGACGGTGGGGGGTGGTAGCGAGTGGGCGGGTGGTGGTGTGGTGGCGAGTGGTGGGTGGTGGTGGCAAGTGGGTGACGGATGGCGGGTGGTGGTGGCAGGTGGGTGGCGGATGGCGGGTGGGTAGTAGGTGGTGGCAAGTGGGTGGTGGTGGTGGTGGTGTGGGTGTGGCGGTAGGTGGCCATTGCGTGTTCTAGTCTACGTTGGGTTCTTCCCCTTTGTATCATACGTTTTTGTGCTGCTGGCCACTGACCGGCTCCTGCGCCATGTGGCTCTGTGCCCCTTGCTGCCGTTGTTTGGAGGTGTGGCGGCGGGTTGGTGTCTTTCGAAGTTCGTAAGTAGGTGTGTTGGTTGTTGGGTCCGTTTTTGTTTTGTGTGGCCCCACGTGTGTACGTCGTACGCTTCCTTCGTGCTCACTACGGTGTATTTCTTCCTTCCATTTCCTCCGCCCCCCAGTTTTTTGTTTACCCATTCCACCCCATCATCACCAGCTCCTCATACTATACCCTGCGCCTCCGGCGCACACTCTGCGGCTGCGTTAAGTTGCACTTTGGCGCGTGTGATACGATGGTGTACCGGGTGGTGATTGCCGGTTGGTGGGATTCTGGTTGCATCCCCCTACCCATTCTTTTGCACGCTTGACAACGCCCAGCCATGGCTGGCTGCGCTACAATTGTTCTGACCAGACCAAGTTGACTGCGCTCGTTACAGAAAACAATGAATAAAAATTGCTATGGAGGATATGTGAATGTGCGTGAGTTTGATGAGCGGATGGTGGGCATAGTGATGATGGGGTAGTCGATGTACATGGGCCGGTGGTGGCCAAGATAGGTGATGGCCTGGTAGTTTGGTGTAAGGACAAAGGGTGAATAGATACCATCGGTATGGGTATAGTTGGGTTTCCCATAGCTTAGAGGTGCTGAATTGTGCGGCAATAGGCTCGGAGAACTGTGTGGGTTGTGGCCATTTTTAAGAAAACCAAAAGCGTTGACGAAAAAGTAATGCGAGCCTTAAATGCAATCCCAATTGGGACCATATTTTTGGACGCCAAACCTAAATTTGAATTTTGTTGAATACCTCAATTAATCTCATCTACCTCATATACTTTAACACACCACCCTTCTCTCGCGCATGTCCATAGAGCCTGGGTCTCCTTACTGTGGCGTAGAGACTAGCGGGTTGGTGGTCAGCCCTCCAGGTGACACTTCCTCTCCTCCACAAGCACCGCTTCTCCGATTGCAAAAACACTCCCATGCTGTTCCTCTCCCCTCTCCCTAAAACTAACTTAAGCTGCCAATCCTTCACTTCCTCTTCGCGAACCTAACCTAAAATCATTGTTTTTCATCTCCTCTCCTTACCCATCCTCTTACATGCACCAGGGATAGGTGCAAATTTTAACTTTGAGAGGACGAAGTGATAATAAAAATTTAACAAAGGCGGGGTGATAATGGGCATGGTCTGCGGATTTGTCTTGTGTGGCATACGAAGATTGGAGATGTGAAAAATGATGACAAAGCTTGGAATATCATTAATGCTTCTATTCACAAACTATATAAAAGGTGTCAAGAGAGTATTGAATGCAGAATACAATTCGGTGTGCGAGCAGAGTGGGATTATTGGCATTTGCAATATCTTGTGGCTGGGTAGGAATCCTTGAGTCTCATGGTGTGGCTGCAATCATAATATTTGGTTTGGATGTTTGCTCCCGTTAATGTGTTTTAGAGAGATAGCGTGAGACGGGTGTGCGTGTCAAAAGTGGGAAGGGGAAAATATTGATTAGATTGTTGCAACCAATTGGGGCCTAGAAGGAAAAGGGGTGAGCATTGGTTAGTGATGGTTGGAGGATTTTCAAAGGAGGCCTTCGATTTATTTTATGGCAGGTGAGGTGAAATGATTGGTCCTGATTTCATTAAGGGTAGGTGTTGATTGTTCTGGAGAAACTAAGGTCAATAGGTTTTCATTGGGAAATTTTGATGACGAAGTGATTAGATGGAGGGCTCGGGGGGTGAGTATGTGTGGTGAATATTAGTCGTCAGAGATATGCCTCCTGAGCGTATGGGATGGAGGCGCCGAAGCAACTAGTTGAGTGTGAAATTTCGGCTCTATATTCTTGGCTCGGATAGGTTGTTCGTGCCCGCATAGGTGATGTTGTAGATCGGTGGGATTCGTATCGTGAATCGAAATGCTCGTCGGAATGCGGAGATCGAATGCGGATGTAAAGATTGAGTGTGGTGAATCGTTAAAGGTCTAAGGTCACTTTATGTGTTAAATTATTATGGAAACATATGTCGTTGGATAGTTTAAATGTTAATATAATCTCATAATATAAAATATTTGACTTAAATAAATCAAAATATTATTTTGAATGATATCACTAATTTAATAGGTAGAAGTTAACAAAGGATTCATGTAAAATCACCAACTTACCTTCTTTTCTTTTTTGGTTGGTTTATAATGGGAATATTTGTGTTATTAGGACGTGTTTTGATAAAGTGGGATATAAGTCAGTGGAGATCAGGAACATGATGTTGGAGTTGGTGGTGTGTCTAAGATAGTTAAAGGTGGTGGTGGTGGTAAGTGGGAAGGGCGTGGGTGGTGTGGACAAGTAGGTGGTAGTGGCGGTGATGGTGGAAAGGTGGGTGTGAGTGGTGGTCGGCAGGTGGTGGTGGTTGGTGGGGGTGGGGAGTGGGTGGTGGTGGCGGAAGACGGTGGTGGAAAAAATGGTGGCGGGTGGTGAATAGTGTGGGTGGCTTTAAAAAAAAAAATTAAAAAAATCAAAATGGAAAACACATTTTTTGTATTTTCATTTTTTTTGACTAAATTATAATTGAGACCACTGATTATAAATCAGAAATTTTTAACGAAATAAAATTTTTATTTAAATTTTTAATTTTTATAAATCATAAATAAAAAAATTAAAAACGTAAGTGTTACCCAACTGCAGATTACGTTCTAACAATTTTTAAAGATTGGCATTAAGCTTGGAGACTATGCTCTCTTGGGAACACTTTGATGTATGTGACGTTAAAACCAAATGTGACTAATAGAAGCACTTAATTATAAAGGAGCCGCCGTAGATAGGATTGAATTACGCGTACAAAAGTGTTTTTTCATTGAATCATTGGAATTTTTTTCCTTTTGAAGTCAAAAGCAGCTTTCACAAGTCTTTCAAAATGGCATTGGATGAATTGCCAAAACCAAACCAACGACCTCACCGTTTGTCAATATGAAGCATTACAGATAGAGTTTAATTATCTAAAAGTTGTATTTATAACATATTATGATAGTTTATATCTTTTTTTAAAAAAATTGGATTAATAAGTCTATTTCAATAAAATTAAAAAATATTATTAATTTTTTTTAAAATTTTTTAAAACTAAAAATATTATTAATTTTGTATAGTAATATTTTCAGATAATTATTTCACTAACTAATAAAAAATAAGAGATGAGATTAAATTTTTTTACATTTTTTACTTATTGATTTAATTCAACTATGGCAATAAAATAAAGAACTTTATCAAATTTTTCAATTTTAAAAAAAATTGATAATGTTTTCAGTTTTAAAACTGAAAACATTATCGTTTTTTTATTTTTGAAAGTTTTGTTTTTTTTTTTATTTTGCAAATCATGTTCCAATCATATACTTTTTATAGACACAAAATTTTTAGGTTTTACACAAAAAAATAATTCAATTTTATCAAACTTTTTTTTAAAACAATTATGTTCTTTTGCTTGGTTTGGATTTTCTAACAACACTTTTCAAAAAATTCTATTATTCTTATTTTTTGAAATTTTTTTGTTTTTTCTAGAAATTTTTTTATTTTTAAGAGCACACCTAACATAAATACACTTAAAGTATAATTTTCATGAAACAATCTTTAAAAATTCACTAAATACACAAAACATAAAAATAAAAAAAATACGAAAATTCATATATTTTTTACGAATTTTGTAATTTATTAATTTTTGAAATATTTTTTCACAAATATTTTATTTTTTAGATACGTCTAAGTAAGTGGCATCTAAAAGTAAAAAAAATGCTTAAATTTTAAATATTTACTAAAAACAAAAGAAAAAAACTCAAGTTTTTAGAAAATTGAATTCAGAAACTGAACCAACACAAGCACTGATTAATTTTTTTTTTTTAATTTTTTCAAATTTGATGTTGATATTTTTAAAATTTTAAAAAATCAAAATAAAATGCAAATCATTATATTCTTTTTTATAAATAATCATAAATGATGAATAATCATGTGTTTGAAGGACAATTCAATATTAATAATTTAATGAGACTTTGAAGATTTAAAGATCTTAAATTAAAACTTAATGAGTAAATTCATAAATTAAAACTTGTATGTAAAATGCGCCCCTTAAATATAATGGAGTGTGTAATCGGAAAATGGTTTGAGACAATTAAGGCTAGTGTTTGGAAGATTTCCCTAAACTTGATTCTTATCCTCACATTCCAATATGATGTTTGGATAGGTATTGGAACTATTTTCCACAACTATGTAAGAGAAACTCTATGTGAGGGCGTGATTTTCAAATTTTTTTTCTTTTTAAAATTTGGCGGCTAACCGTCATTTCTGCCCACGGGACGTCCCACCGGTCGTCCGGCACGGTTGACCGGGAACAGTACAATTTTAATTTTATTTTTTGGGGGCAATTGAAGACATATTGTTAATTTTTTTATATATTCA